TCAAGCAGTAAACTCAATTTGCATTAAGCAGCCAACAAATTTGATCAAACTGAGCTTTTTATTGCATGTGTAACAGTAATCTCTTTGATTGTTAGAGAAAGAGAGATAAAGGGAGAGATAGAAAGTGGGGAGGTGTAGCAATGTCATCATGTGAGTGGAGTGAATATGAATCTATTGATTACATTTTGAATATACCAATTGCAAAGGAGGTCAGCAATTTAAATTGAGTCAGTTCTCATGGAGAGATTATCAAGGCTGAAGCAGTTAATAAAAGAGGATAGGAAGAGAAAGGCAACATTAGGCCAGTAAAAAGGAAGAAAGGAGGGGGAAATTCTGGCTTGATTAGTATTTATTAAATTAACACCTAATACATGGACAATATCATTAGTTTTGTGTTAAATAAAAAATATAAAAAAAGGATTGACATTAAAAAGACACAAAGATATTGACACAACAATATTGTAAAATATTACGATTATTATCATTCTGATTTTTTTTGCATATACAAGCATTATACATTATTTTTTTTAAAAAAACGAGGAACAGGTATAGTATCTATTCAATCTTCAGTCCTATTAAGCTGAAATCATTTCTAATTTATGACCAAAATACCTGTTCATTTTGGAAAGGGGGAGGCAGAAAATGGGTATTAAAGAGAAAAGATAGTAAAAAAGCTAGAGAATATATATATATATATATATATATATATATATATATATATATATATAAATACACACACACACAGGTTATAGCAGAAATACTTCTCACATATTGGTAAGATATTAGCTAGATGAAGACACCATTGCCATTAATATTTTACCATTATGTGGGAAGTATTTCTGCTGCACCATAGATTACACACACATCTTCATCTAGCTAATATCTTACCAATATGTGGGAAGTATTTCTGCTATATATATATATATATATATATATATATATATATATATATTTATTTATTGTTACTCTCTCATATTTTTATACATCAGGAACAATATTGGGAAAAATGTATGACAAATTGGAAAAGTTTTCTTGTGACGTGTTTCATCCTTTAGAACTTCATTGGAATAAATTTGTTATGTTGGTGTGACTACACACATGTGCATATACAATCAGTGAGATAGAGGAAAAAAAATGAATATAAAATTCCCAGCATCCCTTATTTGTATGCATGTGTAATCACACAAACATAAATTTAGTCTGATGAAGTCTTAACAGATGAAACGTGTCACAAGAAATCTTTTCCCACTTTGTCATACATTTTCCCCCTATATATATATTATATATATAAATACACACACACAAGTAGCATAATGATTATTAGCCTTAAAGAAAATGGAATCTCAAGCGAGTTTAAACTCTTGAGGAGATTGCTTAGTTGGTTAAATTTATAACATGTTGGATTATTTAATGCAGAATCTTCTATGGGGCAATTAGTAAGGATTGAACTTGTTACTCAGTAGTAATGGTCAAACACACTAACTTTGTTGAAGTGCCAGTATCTCTTTGCTGTTGTCTTTTGACATAAATGTCTTGTTACTAGTAGGTCAATATTTGATGTATTTGGGAAAAAACAATTTCCATAAATTGCCCATAAAATACCTACTTTCTTATAAGAACTACAATTTCTAGAGATTCTATACAGACACTAAAATTGGTATAGTACCAGTGTAAAAAGAGAGAATAGAAAGGGACAGACAAGATCATTTGCATATGGATTTTAACTTTTGCTTTGGAGGATCAGTGTACTATTTCTAACCGTGTCTAACTTAGTATGCACAAGTTAATTTTACCAATCTGTTCACAAGCAGTAGAATTCTAGCTTAATGAACACACCACCTGCTTGCTTATTTCCAGATGAAATGTATGAATCAAGGTAAAATTCACTTGTTAATTTTATACACATTTACTTTTATCATGACTGTGTACATCAGATAGATAGACTGTCAGACAGATAATTTCCATTATATTTTTAATGTATATTAGAGTTAAATTAAACTTTCAATTAGTATTTAATTAAACGCCAATAAAATCCTGATAACTAACTTGTCAAGTCATAGCTTCTAAAATTATATTTTTATCAACTCAATACTTAGTAGAATTGGTAATTACTAACCTTAATTGTATCATTACTAAGCTTAGCTTCTTCATTTTGTTTATCTGACATTTGACTTGCCTTTCCAGGAAGGAGAGAATAAATAGTTCAGTTGGTAAGCAAGATTTACATTTTCCTAGCATCCACTCACAATTGGAGTAAAGTTACCAGCAGTTAAGTATTCACCAGAAAAAGTTACAAAAGAGACTGTGATAAGATGAGAGAATATGACAGCAATAAATATCATGATAAAAGCTGATTGCAAGGCTGGAACAAGTAACAATAGAATAATAAATTTATTTATAAAATTTAAGCATATTAATCACATATTTAACAATATTAGTTCAGTCAAACTGAGTTGTAAAGTATCAGAGGCCTTTCTGTCAGATATAGTTTATCATAATATCCAGAAGTTTCATTAAATGAGATATCACACACACACACAGAAACTTCCTAGAGTTGTAGTAAACCATTGCTCAAGCAAATATAATACATTATTTAAATTTGGCCAACACTCTCTTCAAAATAGTTCCTTTGGTAAAGTGCAATAATCCTTACACCTGTTGCATGCCTCAAAATACCAGAGATCTTCTCAATGAATGTTCAAATTTTCCATCAGAATGTCTCGGCAAACTATATAACCGATTCAAATCACGTGAGAGAGCTAACAGATTGGTAACAGTCAGCATGGACAAACTCAACAATTGTTCCTCACATTTTCTGTTGTTTTTCTGGCAACACTCATCTAGAACCAACACACAGCCACTTTTGAAAAGTGTGCCACTCAAAAAGGTGTTCTACTGAAATAATGCTTGCTAAAAGCCTAACAAAGCATTTATAGGCTATCGGTAACCGATTTACTGAGCTTCATGCAAACATTTGAAACAAGTGCATTGTAAAGATTGCAGAGCTATTTCAATACATTACAAAACCTCATGTAATAATTAAATGTAAGTGGATAGGATGAAGTCAGTTGGCAGACTGACTCCATAAGCTGGTATCAATATGCATTAGATGCACATATTTTTGTTGTGCAATACAATCACAGTAAATACAGACTTGGAATTTTCCAATAGCTCCTTGCATGTATAATCTCAACATCACTGTTGACATACTTGAAAATTAGAAATTTATGTAACATCTGAACTTGGCATGTGTATTCAGCTTTTATTAGTCTACTAACCTTACCATTACTCTACTGATCCCTACTTAGCTTTGAACATTCTCCATATTAATATTTATAGAGGAAGAGAAAATTTGAAAACTTCAGATTTGAACAAGTCTCAATTCCCAATCTGTCTATTTTGCAGAAAAACAAAAAAATAAGTTGAGAGGCACAAATTATATGTACAATATGCAATATATAATGATATTTAACTTAAAGAGAATTTAAGTGTGTGATTTGATTTAGACAGCAGATTAGTCAAATTGAATTAGTTTTTAAATTATTATCAAAAAGATAGTTTCAAAATTTTTCTTGCTACTTTTCCAAAGTTGGTACACTTCAAACAATCAGAGACAACAGTTAGAGACATATATAAGAAAAAGCAATTGTACTTTTGAACCCAACAGCTTTGGCACTTGGCCATTGTTGGAAAACAGAAATGAACCCATGACGCATTGAATTTTATCAGTTTATCAAATTTTCTTAACAGTGTAGAAAATAGAATATTTTCAATGTAATTTATATAAAATAAATTATAATAAATGAAACTAATTTAGGTTTGTTAAAATACATCTTCAAATCAATTGCATAATATTTATTTCTCTACACATATGCACATGCTTTAAGGAATCATTTTATAAACTAGTCAATTTCAAATTGAACCAATGCTGGACTACAGTCAGCCAGATTACAGAGATACTACCTTTCTTTATAAATTATATTTTGTATTTTTAAAGTGGCTATATCATGTACAAATTTATTTTTCCATTAAAACAAATGAAACAAACATTGTAAAAAAGTTATTAATTTCAACAGTATGTACATTTTTTCAATTCATATATATTGTAGCATTAAACATTTACATGAAAAATAACACCTGCTTTTTTTCTTTTTTGCATAATGCAATTTAAAGTAACTGCTTTAGAAACAGGAAAATGCTTACAAATTTACTTCCTTTCAAAAAAAAAAATAAAAATAATGAAATAAAAATAAAAAAATAAAATAAAAAAAAATACTAAAAAAAAGCAAAAATATTTTAAGATTTATAGCAAACAAATTTTTCATATTGTGAAAACATTCACACATCTGAAAAGGAAATGTTACATTTTCTAAAAATATTTCATACACTGCATACATTATGTTAAAGCATGGTATCAATTACTTCTGTTGAGTGAAAACATTTTTATAGATATTACAATTTCAAGTAGAATTGTCCAAAGAAAAACAAACATTTAATTAGGGCATTACAGCAATGAGAAGAAATGCTTTATTTAAAAATCTAAAAACCAAGCTTAATAAAAAAAAAAAAAAAAAAAAGCAAAAAAGAAAAAGAGAAAAAATCCCCAGAAAGTGACATTTCAAAATACATTAAATAGTGTAAAATCCTCATATGACTCATTTGCTTATCAATTCAAATGGAAGTAAAAATAAATAAAATTCCAATGGCATTTTACTCCTCTGCCTATTGAAGAAATTTTATTTGAATAACAGTATTTAATGTTTTACAATGTCTGTTCTTTAATAGTTACATTTATATAGACATTTCAGACTTAATTTCTTATTATGGGACAAAGATTTTATATCTATTTTTTTTTCTTTTTCCATGTAAGCTTTAGGTGTTAAAGGTTATCTTCTGTAATCTAATAAATGTTGTCAAGAAATATAGTCATAGAAACATAACCATAGACAAATATAAAATGCAATTTCTATGAAAAAGTTATACTTTACAAAAGAACTTACCATAGTATTTGTGATCCTTCTTAATTTCTGGCCATTTAATGTGACTGTTAGCTTGCGTGAATTCCTTCTGCAGCATTTTGACAGATTCCAATGCAGGTAAGACATCATCTTCACACACACCTGTAAATCCAACTGTCCAAGTCACATTGTGAACAATTAACTTCACTAAGTCTTGTAATCGAAGCACCAGCTTTTCAGACAAGGAAAATACTTCATCCTACAAAAGACAAAAAAAAAAAAGAAAAAAGAATTACAGAATTTTGCATTTACCAAGACATTTTACATCTCATTTATGCCAAAAAAGCCAAAAGTAATATATCTTAAATATATTAATCTTGTAAAATAAATGTTTGATAATTAAAATACATGTAAATGTTATTTTTTTTCTTTTAATTAAAATAATTGTCATTTTTCTTCAATCTGAAGTAGTGTGGTAAAATTTTAATTGGTAGGAATAAATTAAAAGGAGAGCTTCAATAAAGTTTAAAAAAAAAAAAAAAAAAAAAGTCAGAAATTGGTAAATAACAATGCCACATTTGCGAAATTCAAATAAGTGGAGTGTTCAAATTAAAAACTACTATAAAATGAAGGTTAGAAAAATAAAGATGGTTTACATGTCTTTATTTTTAAAAAGAAACAGCAACTGAGAAAAAAAAAAAAAAGAAATGTACAATATTCCAAGCTCATTGACAAAAAAAAAAAAAAAAAATGTCAAATGTGACTATCTTCCTTTTAGGCGGAATTAAGAAACTGAATAATGTCGTGCATTAGTCAACAACCAATGAAAATATTACCAATTTTGTGTATGGAAGGAGCGGGGGGGGATGTTTCATAAATTACTAAAAATAACGAAAATACCAGACAAATTTTGTGTGTAAATGCAAACAATTTAAAGAAGACTTATATTTAAGGCAATGTAAATACAAATTATTTATAGATGCAGCCAATTTACAAGAAACATTTCTAAATAGAATTTCTCTTGCACTCAACTACTTGAGTACTATTTTTCACTCAATTCTACAGAGAATTATGGATAAATGTATAGATCTACTCAAAGGCATTTGAGCACAAAACTACAAAGAGAGAGAAAAAAAATACTATTTACAGTCATTTCTTTATTCAAAGTTCAAACTGGAGGCGGAATCTTTTATTGAATTCAATTTATCCTTAAAATTGTTTTTATACCAATTGTCTTAGACATGGAAACTGATTTGCTTTTTCATTCATTATTAAAACTAACAGTTAAAGGGAAATAATTTCAATCGCAGATTAAGCTTTTAATAAAATATGGACACAAAGAACATATGGAATGGATGTGAATTGTTTAAAATAAAACAAACATACATACACACACAATATATATATATATATATATATAACTTTTCCATCACATGGTTGACAAAGAACATATACAGGGTGCAGCAGAAATTCCCACAATGTTAAGACATTAGCTAGATGAAGACACCATTGCCCCTTGCTTAAGATCACTACCATCACACAGGTGACAGTTTAAAATGTGGTGGGGAGTTATTTCTGTCACACCCAATATATTTTTCCATAAATAATTAATGAATTTTATCTTTTAATTTGATATTTTTATTACTTCAAATGTTATTTTGAGTGGATGCCCATATTTGAGTAGATTCTGCTTATTTTAAACAGTATTTTATTTCATCTAATTGTCAGCACATTCAAGAAAACCTTAAAAAAAAAAAAAAAGAAAAAAAAAAGGCACATTTTTCTTTAATAAGTTTTCTCAAATTGGAAAGTTGGTAGATAAAATAAAATACTGTTTAAAATAAATGAAGCATCTACTCAAATATGAGTATCCACTAAAAAAGAATGTTTAAAATAATGTATGTGTTTGTTGGATTTCATATAAACAATGTATGGTATTTGTACAGACAAACACACATACTGATAAATATTTTTATATTATAACCATACAATTATTTTATAATCATTTTTATAATTTCTAGTGATAAAAATAAAAAATTCTATTTGGCAAAACTCTTCAAAAACATTCAAAGACAGGACTGCTTCTAGAAAAGAAAAACTGTATTTCAGAAATAAATAAATTAAGAGAAATAGATAATGAGAGAAAGAGAGAGAAGAAAGTTGTTTGTACCAAATGTTCATAACCCCCTCCCACCTCAAGAGAAAGACAAGTTTAAACAGAATAGGAAAGAGGAGTGTAGTATTAATAAATTATGAATAGATCAAGGCTGAAAGTAAAATATATTACAAAATAACTACAGAAAAAACTCAGTCATTATCCTAAATATTGATTTTTTTTTTTTTTAAGTAGGACATGTAAACAGATTTTCAGCAATGGATTCTTTAAAAACTTTCTAAATGAAAGGTTTTGTTATTAAAATTTTACCCATCATAGAACAATGTTTTTTATATTGGAATATATTTTTGTTAATATGAGTAATATTAGGTCTTTTTTATCATACAGATCATCTATACTACAACTGAAGTACCATAAGATGGTAGTAAATTTAAGGGATACATAAGGAAAGCTAACTTTTCAACTGACAGGTAACAGACACTGGCTGTATACTATTTTTTTTGCCTTACAATATACTTGCTGTCGCACAAGCTAATTAATCTCTATTAATGTTGAATTTGCAAAGTAAGAGCATTTTTTTTTTATTGCATCTACTGTTTGAGGAGGGAACTACTCAGTCAGCTATGATGGCATGCAAGACATTTTGTCAAGTTAACCCCTGAAAGTCATGGAGAATAGGATTCATGCCTTTTTTTCAAGGCTGTAATTGTGAAATGAACACAAGCAGCCAGAACAGAAATTTGAAGCCTTTGTAGATTCTGTTACATAATGTGTGCAAAGTGAGCAGCAGCAGGAATGTAAAGATTGACAAATCAAGTAAAATTGTAAAGAACGAAATTACATTCAAACATCAAGTGACATTCATAACTACAGCTGTGTTATTCATATAACAAAGACAAATCTGAAAAAGTAATTAACTTTGAACAAAAACTAATATACAGCAGAATAACAAAAAGGTAGTTAGCCAGTAACAAAGTCTATAAAGATTATTTAAAATACATATCAGATACTAGTAGCTTTGTTTTAATAATGTTAAAAAAAAGAAAAAAGAAAAAAACACTTTCCTAAATAATACCAGAGAGAGAGAGAGAGAGAGAGAGAGCAATAAGTCAAGGAGTGGAAAGACACAGAGAGAGAGAGAGAAATGAGAGTAAGGGGAAGAGAGAGCAATAAGTGAGGCAATGGAGAGAGAGGGGGAGAGAGAGAAAGAGAGAGAGAGACCAAGCGCAAGATAGGAGCAGGAGGGCAGAGGAAGAGAGGAAGAAGAACAGGAGGGGGGGGAGAAAGAAAGATGGGGCCTAACAGGAGTGGGGGGAGAAAGAAAGATGGGGCCTAACAGGAGTGGGGGGAGAAGAAAGATGGGGCCTAACAGGAGTGGGGGGAGAAAGAAAGATGGGGGCCTAACAGGAGGGGGAGAAAGAAAGATGGGGCCTAACAGGAGTGGGGGAGAAAGAAAGATGGGGCCTAACAGGAGTAGGGGGGGGAGAAAGAAAGATGGGGCCTAACAGGAGTGGGGGGGAGAAAGAAAGATGGGGCCTAACAGGAGTGGGGGGGGAGAAAGAAAGATGGGGCCTAACTGGGGGCGAGAAAGAAAGAAAGATGGGGCCTAACGGGGGGGAGATGGGGCCTAACCCTTAGAAAGAAAGATGGGGCCTAACAGGGGGGAGAAAGATGGGGAGAAAACAAGATGAGAGCTGGGGAGTGAGAAGCTAATATAGGGGTGGGAAAAAGAGAAAGAGATTGACGGAGAAAGTAAGATGGGGGCCAGGAAAGAGAGAGAGAGATGTAAGTTATTTGTTTTATGAAATGCTGACAACTGCCTTGTATATTAAAGTACAGAGAAAGCTGATGAAGCAGCCTGCATTTTGGTTACATGACAACACCTAGTAATAAAAAAATAAAAAAAATCTCCCAATATTATTATATCAGCTACCAATGGAAGATTGCATGCTACAGTTCATCCTATATGCATAAATATATGTGCAAGCACTTTATTGATTATTACTATCTTTCTTACAGAAGCAGCAATTTTAAAATATGCTGAAGTAAATTAATTTATTATAGATTTTTTTTTTAATTAACTGTCATGAAAGATTAGAACATGAAAAATATCAATTAAAAGTAAGTTTTGAAATGTTGGGGGAAGAGGCTTCAGAGAAAAAAAATTTGTTGAATAAAGTCAGGATAATTGTAATTAAGTTTTAAACTTAAAAATTTTACTTTGAAAATATTATCAACAAAGGAGATGCTTAAATAAAGCACTCCCAGAATATTATATAACAGAAAGAGAAAGAATGTTTAGATTTAGTTATGTGTAAAAGTAAATAGCACTCTTTATGGGTGGGGGCTGAAAATACAACTGGAAACTTTTGCACATATATAAAATCAGATTTCATTTCAGGATTCTTTAAAATTATTGTATTAAAATAAAAACATTTGACTTTAATAATTATTTTGAAAAATATATTTGAAAAAAAGAAATGCTCAAAGTAAATGGTAACTGTTCACATGTGACAAAATAGATATTATCACAGCTGTTGATGAGAGAGAGAAAGAGATATTAAGTGACTAATAAGTGTCATTGCCTTTAAAATAGACCATGCTTTTCTTAACAAATAAACAAGTTTGATAGCTGATACAACAAATTTGCACAAAGAAAAAAAAAGAACTTATTTGTTTGGAAAATGCAAGAGTATCAAAACTAAAATTTATTTCTTTACTGAATAACTAAACAAGAATAAAAAATAATTCTTAAAAAACCTATAGAAGTAAAATAAAATGTTTGTAGCAAGGATATTCAAAAAAAGTATAAAACACTTCCTGTTTTTTTCTACAACAGTAGCTACATACTACAAATGTCATTCTAAGACAAATTCCAATACACAAAATATTTTGAAACTTTTAGTTTGTTTATTAGGAAATAAATTTTTTTAAAAATCATAGATATTTCTAATTAATATCATAACATCCTAATTATTGTTTTATTTTTAAAATAAAATTTGCAAGGAAATAATTTTCTTTGTACCTTGCCTTCACAAAGAACATCATTAAATGTAAGCAAACAATGTGCCACAACTGAGGCCTGCACGTGGCATTTCAATTGCTAATAGATTTTAGCCATAAAATGTTAGTCATAACTCTAGCAAAGGGATAGGATTTCACCTTCAACTTCAACATAAAGGTTGAAAACTCAAGTGGTTTAAAGCCAATAATATTCAACACAACTCAGCAAGACTACATATCTCTCTTTTACCCCCCTCCTTGCTTTCAAAAGCACTTGCCTGAAGCTATTCTCTATCCAGATTAATTGCATGGTAAGAGGAGGAATGAGACTACAAAAATTCCACTTTATATAGCTAACTACTTTATACAGGAATCTTTTCTTAAATTAATTTATTCAAATGTATAGAGCAAAGTTTACAGATTCAGTATGTGTGTGTGTGTGTGTGTGTGTCTTTTATGAACTAGTGATCACCTGATCAAGTCAAAATTAGATGCCATTAAATTATATATTTCTAAGAGTTATAATTTTTGTTGTAAAATTTTTCATTTAATCTTTAAAGATTTAAATTTGAATTTTGTATCACTTTAATTATTACCCTTAATAATAAGCCTGTCTTGTGAAATAATTTTGGGTAATTTATTTTCACTGTTTGATAAAGAGAATAAATTTGAAATATTAAGTAAAAAAAAAAAAAAATAAATAAATAAATTTGAGAAGTAACATTTTTTAATTGTATATTATATTAAAATCAAAAAATTTAGTTCAAAGTAAACCTTTATAATATTAAAAATAAATTATAAATACAAAAATAAAGTGATTTTATGAAATAATGTCTGTACAGGAAATAATTGATATGTTTAACAAAATATATATGACCTATATTAATTAATATCAAACAAATTTATCAAACTATTTTTTTAATTTAGCTTTATAATAATGCAAATTATGCAATAAAAACTTTAATTTGAAAGATTGGGAAAATTAAAGTGAATTAGACTTTTCTTTAAATTCAAATACAATACATTTTTTATTTTAGTACTTTATTTAAGCTAAAAAAAATAAGTAACATAATGTAAGAAAATCAATTTAAATATAATATTTTTATAATATATTATTTAAAATAATTTAATTTAAAAAGTTAAATCAACCATAATACATATAGTGATTGTATATATTTAAAAAATAGAAATGTAATTATTAAAAAAAGAAAGAAATCACATGTTGATATATTATTAAACAAATGATAGCACAAAGGCAACACTGAAAAAATACCATAATATTGAAGAGAGGTAGGATAGAATAGATATTGATAAAGAAGTTAGAACAGTATACAGCAAAGAAATGTAGACAGGACAATAGATAGAGAAAGAGAGTGCTTTGCTTAGTTAAGTGCTTATATGTAGAGTGCATTTCCTAAAATACTCTTTGGAAAATGTCAGAGAATGTTATAAAGGGGAAGACTGAAGTGTGTATAGCAGCTTTTTGGCTTCAAGGCAACTGAATCTAGTTTAAGTCCATTCAATAGGAATTCAGTTAAAATGTCAAATTATTATTAAAGAACAGATTGAAATTTTACATATCTACATCAAACATGTTATGGCAATTTACTGATTTTAATGACTCATGAAATAAAAAAAAAAAAGAGAAATATTAATTATATAACGAATGGAGTAATTGTCTGAATTAGAGTAACATTAATGTAGATCAAAGAGAAACAGACTACTGGCTTCATGAGTCAACTCGACAGTACTAAGGGCAGATAACTAAGTTGGGATGAGTAATGAAGTCTCAGCTGTCGTGTATAGGTATTAGTTGCATTTGATTGCAAGACTATGCACTGATTAATACAGGATCAATGAATGAATGACGAGTGGGTATGAAATTAGAATTAGTGTAAAACAACTTCAAATAATATGACCAAATGATTATTATTTCAAGATGCTTTGGAATAAAAAGCAATTTGAAAGATTTATTATATTTTACTACTTATTTGAAGTCTAATAAACATCTTCAATATAAATTAAATTTACAAATATTTCTTAGTGGTGTTTATTTTATTTTTCTTGAAATTAAATTTTCCTTCAGGCAAAAGTTCTCATCTTTTAAGAAAAAGTATTTTTAAATTTATGTATGTATGTAATTTAAAAATACATTTTCTTAAAAGATGAGGAATATGATACTTGAACTATATATATATATATATATATATATATATATATATATATATATATATGAGAATAAATTTATAGAAGAATTTAATGAAAACAAAAAGGGAATTATGAATGAAGTCAAAATTCTGCATGCAGTGTTTATTTGGAATGTAAAATTGCACTCCACACCTATATTTTGCTACTTAAATGCAAAGCTGGAGAGTTTACTTGAATATTGCTAGACTGGTTACCAGCCAAGGCTAAAAAAGCTGTGCCTGCTCTGCTAGGTAATTCATAGATGGGAGAGAAAAAGATTTATATCTTCCCCAAGTGTATCAGTGTGAAAGGAGGAGCAAACTGTTTCATATTGCCCTTAACCTGATATCAAAAAAAAAAAAAAAAAAAAAAAAAAAAAAAAAAAATTTTAAATAAAGACTCAAACTGTCAAAAATAGAGTAAGATCATCTGGAAAAACATTAATTATTTTTTATTAAATTATTTACTATTTTACACATTAAAAGCTGATCTCATATAGACTTATTTTTGTTAAACAGTCTAAAACATATTTACTATTATAATGAATTTATATATTAATTTAAAAATAATATATATATATATATATAACAAATGGACTAATTTAAAAATAAAAATCATCACTACAGGAATTACCATGTATAAACCTTTTAAAAACTATCAAATTCAATTGTTTAGAATTAAGTCTTTAACTTAATTCTATAACTGAATTTGAAGTTTTTAGTTTCTTTTTGAAACATGGCAATATATTTTGTAGCAATGGGATCATATTTTTAAATTAGTAAATTTATAATATTTATGCTTTGTAGATTTGCATTGAGCACTGTTTTATAAAAATAAAAATATTAATAAGAACACCGGATTATATATTTTACTGTTCTTTCTCCTTATAATATAATATAATATAGCATATATAAGGAAAGAAATACAAGTTTTTGTATAGAAATAAAATAAAATTAGAAGAGGCAAATAAAAATTAACTGAGCGGGGAGATAGTGATATTTTTATTTAATGATATTTCTAGCAATAAAAAGAAAATTATTCTCTCAAAAGGTTAAAACAGGTTTGAATAAAATCATATAATAAAAGAAGAAAAAAAAAAAAAAAAACAATTTAGAAAGTAACAAGTAACTCCTTTCATAATGAAGAATCCAATGCTTATAAATTAATATTCTCACAGCCAAATTATTTTATTCATGAAAAAAAAAAAAAAAAAAAAAAATAAATAAAATAAAAGGAAAGTGTTCTATGCTTTATCTACTAAAGATAAAGAATTTTCAATTCATTTCAATTCACTATTTTTAAATTTGTTCTGTAATTCAAAATAGTTTTAGAAAACCTGGATACTTTTTTTAAAAAAAAGTATTAAAACATATGCAAAAACTGGAATAAATAATATTATTCATAATATCATGAATGTGTTTATCATATGAAACAATCAGCTTTTCAATCAATTAGCTGCTTTGTAAGCCTAAACAATTTTTGTGTCAATGAAATTTACCCAAATTATATAGATTTTATTTTTAACTAACCATTCCTTTTATAAGCTAACAGGAATAAAAATTAGTATATAAAAAAGCAAAAAAATAAAAATGATTCAAATCAGGTCCAGTTAAAGTATAATAGACAATATAAGCAAGTGGAAAGAAAGAAAAAAATGTATTAGGAAGGAATTCAAATGGGAATCAGTGAGTGACTGTCTGACAAAAGCTTGGTTATTCATATAAACAAAGATAAATAGATTAGAAAAGGAAAAGTACAGACTTCCTGCTTTATCTGACTCTGCTAGAAAATGGAGATGAATGTTGATGCTTAGTACAGAGAGTAATCTATGACAAGAATGTCACAAAGTGAACTCACTCAGTGAGTAATACATTACTCAAAATGAATCTTATTCTGTGTGAATATTTGCAAAAAGAAAGACATAAGAAATTTATTTTGTATATATGTGAAAACAATGAAAATAAAAGATTAAATAAAAGAAAGAAAAAATTGTATCTTGGGAAAAATTATTTGACCAGTGATAAAAAGGAAAAAATAAAGAATAATGCACTTAAGTTGCTTTTGGTATCTTTACTGGTGAAGATGCTTAGAAACGGCATGGATATTCTTTTTGGACAAGTTTTTTTTTTTTCTACCCCTATCACAGAAAAAAAATAAAAAATAAAAATAAAATAAAAATTAACAATACTCAATAGAAGAAAATGTTCAATTTATGTAGGCAAACTTATTAAAAAGATGCAGACAAAATATTGAACAATATTGTATGTGTGCATGAAGAAGTTACCAGAACTATTTTGAAACAGATTGATGTGTAAAAAAAAAAAAAATGAAGAGAGAGAAGAGAAAAGAGAGAGAGAGAGAAAAGAGAAGAGAGAGAGAAAAGAAGAGAGAGAGAAAGAGAGAGAGAAGAGAAGAGAGAGAAAAAGAGAGAGAGTTAGAGAGAAAGAGAAAGAGAGAGAGAGAAAAAGAAGAGAGAGAAAAGAGAGAGAGAAAAGAAGAGAAGAGAGAGAAGAGAGAGAGAGAAGAGAGAGAAAAGAGAGAGAGAGAAGAGAGAGAGAGAAAGAGAAGAGAGAGAAAAGAGAGAGAGAGAGAAAAGAGAAGAGAGAAAGAGAAAAGAAGAGAGAAGAGAGAGAAAAAGAGAGAGAAAGAAAGAGAGAGAGAGAGAAGAGAGAGAGAAAAGAGAGAGAAAAGAGAAGAGAGAAGAAAGAGAGAGAAAAAAGAAAGAGAGAAAGAGAAAAGAGAGAGAGAAGAGAAGAGAGAAAAAAGAGAGAGAGAGAAAAAGAGAGAGAGAAAAAAGAGAAAAAAAGAGAGAGAAAAAGAGAGAAGAGAGAAGAGAGAAAGAGAGAAAGAGAAGAAGAGAAAAAAAGAGAGAAAGAGAAAGAAAGAAAAAAGAGAAGAAGAGAGAAAAAGAGAGAAAAAAGAAGAGAGAAGAGAGAAAAAGAGAGAGGAGAGAGAGAGAGAGAAAAGAGAAAAAGAGAAAGAGAAAGAGAAAAGAGAAGAGAAGAGAAGAGAAGAGAGAGAAGAGAAAAGAGAGAAAAAGAGAGAGAGAGAGAGAGAAAAAGAAGAAAGAAAAAAAAAGAGGAAAAGAAAAAAGAGAGAGAAAAAAAGAGAAAAAGAAAAAAAAGAGAAAGAGAAAAAAGAAGAAAGAGAAAGAGGAAGAAGAGAAAAAGAAAGAAAAAAGAAAGAGGAAAAGAAAAAAAAAAAGGAAAAAGAAAAAAAAAAGAGAAAAAAAAAAAAAAAAGAGAGAGAAAAAAGAAAAGAAGAGAGAAAGAAAAAGAAGAGAAAAGAGAGAAAAAGAGAAAGAAAAAAAAAAAAAAAAGAAAAAAAAAAAGAAAAAAAAAGAAAAAGAAAAAAGAAAAAAGAGAAAAAAAAAAAGAGAAAAAAGAAAAAAAAAATATAAGGAAGAAAAAGAAGAAAAGAAAAAAAAGAAAAGAGAAAAAAAAAAAAAAAAAAGAGAAAAGAAAAAGATAAAAAGAAAAAAGAAGAAAAAAAAAAAAAGAAAAAAAGAGAGAACGTTTTAGAGAAGAAAAAAAGAGGAAGAAGAGAAAAATGATGAAAAAAAAAAAAAAAAATGAAAAAAGAAAGAAAAAACAGAAAAAAAAAAAAAAGGAGAAAAAGAAGAAAAGAGAAAATTTTGAGAATTGAAAGAAAAAAAGAAAGAAAAAACCCTTAAGAAAAAAAAAACTGAAAACTTTAAAATAAAAAAATTATTTTTAAAGAAAAAAATAAAATGATGACAAAAAAGAAAATAATGAAGACAAAAAAAAAAAAAAAAAAAAGGATGGAGGTTTAGAGATTTTTTTTTGTTATTTATTATAAAAAAAAAAATATAAACAAGACTCTTTAAAATAAAATTTATTTGTAAATTTTTAGAATTTAACTGAATTTAAAATAAACCCCCAAATAAGAAAGAATTATAATTTAGAAACTATTCATACAGTTTGTTTCAAACACTATTGACATTAATTAATATATTTAACTAATATACCATTAAAAAGTAGTGACAGTTGTTTAACCATATATCATTTCAATTTTTGAATTGTCATCAAAACTATTATAAAAAATTAATACAAAGTATTTTATTAATAATACCAATGTACTTATTGAAATCATTTACTGAATATTTATTCTAACAGAGCACCTTTTCAAGAAGCTATGTGAATTAAAAATAAATAAATAAAAATAATTAGTTATACTTGTAAAAGGACCAAAGTACAAACCTCACAAAAAGCCATTACTTTATGATAATTTAACCACTGAACAAATAAAACTTCATTGTATGTACTAAATAAAAGAGTTAGATTTTGTTTTATTCATCTGCAATAAAAAACAAAAGTTATTCTGAATGTGTAAGCTGGGAAAATGTTATCAAGGCAGGAGAAAAATGAAAAATCTGGCATTATTTGAAAGTGACTCACAAAGGAATTCTGTATCTCTTTCAGTTGCCAATTCATTAAAACTGATAACTAAACCTTAAGTTTGTAACAAAAATAAAAAATAAAATTTAAATTTAGACCTTGGAGAAAAAAGATTTTTGATAAGATTTAACACATTATCATTTCTGTACACTATCTTCAGTTTTCATTTACTTAAAGGAAAGGTGAAATTGGGTTAAAAATATTTACCCTACTCAAAAGAAAATTTGTAACAACAACAAAAAATTTTTTCTAAATTCTAATTTTTCATAAATTTTTCAAAACTATTTAAATAGATTTTTTTATCTACTAAATACCCAAAGAGATGTTTTAAACCTTAAAATATATATTTAAACAAAAGTTTAAAATAAACATACTTCACTGCTGAGAGTTTTCAAAAATTTTGATAACAGTAAGTAAATATTTTCCCTCATAATTAACATTAATATTTGAATACAATATGGAAGGTCATAAAAAAAAAAAAAAAATCTGGTTTTCATTTTCCAAAATTTTATTGCTAAAATCTATAGCTACATAATTCTGACATATTCATTTAAAAATCACAAGCAAAAAAAGAAATGAAAAGATTCTATATGTTAACTTAAATAATTCTGATGAAACATTTGTTCAGAATATTTTATTGATTTCCAATTTCAGGAATTTTATGATGACTCGTGAATAAAAATATTTGTTTGGACATGTGTGAACAGATATGCTTAATATAAACTTGGTTTTATTTTTAGCTGCATAACTCATACTATTAAATTAAAAAGAAATTGATATTTTTAATTTAAAAATTAATTTAAGAGGCATTTTTAAAATAAGTCACGTGAAAAACTGCTTTTTTTTTAAGTGATGATTTTTTTTATTTTAAAGTTCTTCAGTTTTATAAAAAAAAAAAAAAAAAAAAAAAAAATCCATATCTTAATTGCTTTTTCTGCTTTGCCATAATTTAAATTATTGCACAAGTAAGATTTCAATAAACATGATGAGTAGAAAAAAATCTTGAATAAACTAAGGGAAAATTAAGCATATGTTTATGGCTGCTGGAAATACCAACTAATTTTTCAATAGAGAATAATAAAATAGGCATTTACACCAATAAGAACTGGGCCAATCTATTTCTCTTTGGTGGTGGTAGTCGTAGTAGTAATAGCATAGGTAATGATAGCAGCAGCAGCAGTAACTACATGAGCGTAGTGAAAATCCTCCAAGCCCATTTACTGGTCTTGTCTATAAAGAAGAGAACAAGAGTTAAATATGAACCAATCAGATGAATGGTCTGATAGGGAAGAGGTTGAGGGAAAAAATAAATAGTGGTGGCTATAGAAAAGAGAAAAAAGTTGTTCATTACTAAACCTGTTCATTATTGTCATTTTGACAGAGAAGGGTTAATTTTATTGATAATCTGAAAGTATTGTTTCTTCTGATAGCTTGGCAACACATCTTGCATAGGTGACAAAAAGAACTCAGTTATTTCTCTTATTCTTATATGAAAAAAGAAATTATATAGATGTGTGTGTTCTAATTGAGTTACTTATGAATTAATTGATATTCAAATCAAGTTCTTTTTACATTTTTCATTCAAAAGAAGATTTAGGAGCATTTTTTTTTTCTTATCAAGAGAGCGAATTCTATAGAACCAGTGTATGTTGTAGATAAGATCTAAATCAGTTAATGAACTAATCAATAAAGAATTCAGGTGTTATGGTTTCATCAAAGTCAGAATCCTAATTTACTTAGAATTTGATTAAATATCTTTTGTAAGATAAATAATTAGACTGATATACTTAAATTATCTCTACTGAGTTTTCTTAAAAGCTTTTGTTTACAGTTTAGAATTTTTCACTGAGAACAATCTACACAAAAATAAAAAACTGCAATATCATATAGTTGTTATAACAAAAATGTAAATTCAAGCATTTTCTGACTAATGAAATGAGAGAAAAGAATAAAATGTCAAGTTGATGGATTGGATAGCTTCTAATCAGAATATGAATTTAAATTTTGATTAGTTGTGGTTATCAAAATACTAACAAATAAAATTTTCTTTAGTGTGTGTTTTAATACTACACTAAAAATGGGAAGGGAAATTCATATAACAAAATTCTTTATACAATTACAAAATATCAGAAACCATGTACTGTTCAAAATGGAATAAACTTGAACAAAAAAGTAAAATAAAAATAAAAAATAAACTAGCTTGTACCATTCTAAACATAAGCAACAATTAATTTGAAATTTAGAATGTAGCTTTTTTAACATACTTTAAGCTATTAAAATGATTGGAGCAAAACACAAAGGTCTAACAACCAACTGAAATAACACATGAAATATAATTTAATCTCATCTGAATATTTACAAAGTTAGTTTAAAAATAACCCAGTCAGATTGATTAATAAATGTAAGTAATAAAAAAAAAAAAAAAAAAAAAAAACAACTTCAGGAGAAAATATAAAATTACAGAAATATTAGCTAAATTCATTTCAGAAATAAGAGTTCAGTTTGTCATGATCCCTGTAAATTTAAATTATCTTTGTTATTTCAATGACTAAACAATTTCTTGTAAAAGAAAAAAAATAACTACTTTCAAGAAACTTAATAAGCAAAAATCATAATTGATACAAATTAGTAAAATTTAATTAAAACTATATTGTAACAAGTGAATTGACAAAATTAAGAAAAAAAAAAAAAAAAGAAAAAAAAAAAAAGTCACTTTGTTCAGTATGTTTCTTCCCTTTATATTAAACTGCTGTGTGCATATGGAGTAATTACAATCAACTGTAATGTCATCTAACAATTTTGCACAGCAGTTAGTATAAAAGAAGAAAAAAAATGAAGCTGTCTGCGAGAGAGAAAGATTACAAATTTATATCTAGCAACAATTTCTAGTCACCACCAATACTGGCACAAAAACAGGATTAAAGTGAAAAAAAAAAAAAAAAATTCTGTGACATTATCAAGTGTAAGTCTAGATTGACCTCCAGCTAAAATACTTTTTTCTTTTTAAGCAACAGCTATTTCTATTGTTTAAAAAAAAAAAAAAAAACACAAGAGGTTACCTTTTTTTTTTTCTTCAAAAGTCAATTTTATTGGCATAGAAACATTGAAATAGCCTAAACTTGTCATTATACAAAGAATTTCAGCTTGAACTAAAGTTAACTCTGAAGGTAAAAATATATAAAGATTTTTTTTTTTTATCCCGTTATGATTTGGATTGCTCACAAATGTATAATTCAAAACAGTATATCAGTAAACTATATTATCAAAAAAAAAAAAAAAAAAAAAAAAAATCATTAAAAATTGAAATGAATTCAAACCAAATGATTTTAACATGTTGACTGCACAAGGTCAATTATGAAATTGGACTTCAAATGCCAACTTCATAATAATAATAGCCAATTAGGCAATAATAAAATTTTCAAGTGATTTGTTTGCATTATATTTTTAATAAATGTTTCCCCATAAAAAAGTTTTGTTTTTCGTTGTCAGTAGAGGGTTTTCATTTTTTGAATTACAATGAAAGTACTTGAACAAAAATAAAATATGAACTTGCTTGTTATTTTGATGGCAAGGCCATACAAACCCATGGTACAAATCATAATAAAAACTGCAGTAAATGTGTTAATAAATTTATATCCCCTCTCATAATTAAATCAGAAAATAACCCCACGTCAACCAGGAAAACACAAAGTATTTCAAGTATGGAAAAAAAAAAAAATAAAATAAATAAAGTTTTATCTTTTTTTAGGTTAGATTTAGAAACTCAGCAAAGTGAAAGATTTCCTTCCTTGTCCAAGTCTTGCTCTAAAATAGTTAAGTAACATTGAAACTGACATTAACACCTTTGTTCTTAGACTGGTTCTACAAGTGCTAGTTAAGAAAACAACTAAAAATAGAATTGTTGAAGAATGAAGCATCTCTTGACAAACTAATTTTTAAATCAAGTGTGGAGAAAGAGAGAAAGGAGAGAGAGAGAGAGAGAAAGGAGAGAGAGAGAGAAAGGAGAGAGAGAGAGAGAGAAAGAGAGAGAGAGAGAGAAAGGAGAGAGAGAGAGAGAAAAAGAGAGAGAGAGAGAGAAAAGAGAGAGAGAGAGAAAAGGAGAGAGAGAGAAAAAGAGAGAGAGAAAGAAAGAGAGAGAGAGAGAGAAAGAGAGAGAGAGAGAGAGAAAGGAGAGAGAGAGAGAGAATGGAGAGAGAGAGAGAGAGAAAGGAGAGAAAAACATTTTTTTTAAATTCAATTTTTCATAATTTCTACAATACAAATATAAAATAACTTGCCTAAAGTTTTTCTCACAGTGACACTACTTTTGAACAATGAAAATTCTAAAGATTTTATATAAAAGAAAATTAAACAAACAAAAATAAACAAATAAAAGCTTGACAAAGAGGAAATTCAGGATCAAGAAGAAGAATTCTAAACAAGAAACAATGCAAATGCTAATTCTGATGACATTCGTCAGTAGGTTAAAAAAAAAAAAAAAATTAGTAGTTATTGCGCCCTGTTGTCTTATGAAACAAAAGCATTTGAGTGTTAATCTCTTTATCACATACACACGTATAAAGCAGTCAGTCTATGTAAGTAATTCATATATCAATTGTAATAGCATTTTAGAAATAAACAAAAATCAAAAATTTGGGAGAATGCCTAGATAAGCTGAAACAAACATGAAGGAAGAAGTAAAAAAAAAAAAAAAAAAACTCCTTGAATACAATGTAGTTAAACAAAGCAAAGAAAAATGTATTACTTACATGCTATAGCTATTTATGATAATAAATAGGAATTAAAACATGTTTATTGTTGGTAATTATCTCTTAAAA